CGTTAATCTTGAATGTTCCTTAAAGCATAATAATCAATTCGATATTTGATGGTTTAGATTTATTTTCGAAACTAAAAGTATTAAGAAAAATTGTGCAATTAGAAGATAGCAGTTTAATTGATACATTCGGTCAAATAAAAAGATTTGTGTCTTTTTCCAATGTCTATATTGCTTATGAAAAAATGTTAATAACTCTTGTTACCGTCACTTCAGCGGAAAGAAGCTTTCAAAATTAAAAGTGATAAAATCTTACCTAAGATCATCAATGTCTCAAGAAAAGTTAAATAAATTAGCTATATACAATTAAGAAAGACTTATTACGAGTTATTGATAATAAGAAGATTATTAAAAACTTCGTATCTAAGAAACGCTAGAAAAATAGACTTCAAATAAATAAATAAATAATTTAAAAAAAATTAAGGCCCCTCATAAAGTTTGGTTTTAGGCTACAAAACTTATTGGGCTGCCCTATATTTACATGCATAAAAACCTTTATTCTTGAATAAACACAATTATTTGATGAAATTATATACAGAGGCGGAGCCAGTATTTTATGCTTATGGGTTCAGGATTCTAATCGTTTTAAATTACTGGGTTCTAAAATAATAATAATTTATATATATATTCAATGAATATTTTAAGATAGATACAAGGTTTGACTCAAAACTACTGTGTTGACCTAACCCGCTCCCAACACTCTAGCTCCGCCCTGATTATATACTATATATGCTTCCTCCATTGAAAGATCTAAAAAACTGTTCGATTTTTCATATAATAATATGTTGGTTACTTGTTGAACGGAAATAGAGATGGCAATGGGGCAGTGTGGGTGCGGGGCGGTGCGAGTTTTAACATATGCGGGGCGGGGCGGGTTTAGACATATGCGGGTGCGGGACGGAGCGGGACGGGTCAAAATAATTTTTTCAAAATTCTTTGTGGGTGCGGTGCAGGTGCGGGTTTTAACTTTTTGCAAAATTATAATGTTTCAGCTATTGTTAATATTATTACAACCTAAAAATATTTATTTTTCCAGTTTTGAACTTGTGGTTCCTTTCACCTATGCATTGATTGTTTTAGTCTCAAACTAATTTGATTTTTTACGAGGAATATATTTCATATTGAATATTTATTTAGTTAACTGCAAATACATATTTTTCTGTTATTTGCATCTTTCGGAAGAAAATATTATGTTATATATTTTTAGTGTTTTAAAGTCCCACTTTAATTATATAGTTATTTTATTTGAGTCAAGTAATAATTAGTTGACTCAAATTTTATGTATCTGATCTCATTATCGTATACAATATATGTGAATCACTAAAAATGACATACTAATGTATCAAACCAAATTCCAATATTGATGCATGTAAAATAAAAAATAAGTATATTAAAAAACTTTAAAACCAAACACTGTCAATACTTAAAACTGAAAGCATTTGGTAGGATTTATAGTTATGGGCTTATGGCTATTCAAAATTGGACTTCTTTGGCGCAACTTGGATTCCAACCAGAACTTTCAGATCGGTTGTGCATATATGAATATAATTGAAAATAAAATTAAATAAGATAAAAATATTTCAAATTGAAAGAAATAATAAAGGGAAATTTTTGAAGAGCGGGGCGGGCGGACGCGGGTATTAATGCGGGGTCGGTGGATGCGGGTGAACATGCTATGTGGGGCGGGGCGGAGCGGGTTAAAATATTGTGGGTTAAGGTAAAACCCGCCCCGCACCCGCCCCACCCCATTGTCATCTCTATTTAATAAAGGATTTAAATTAATTACGTACATTGACAGTATAAAAGTTTATTTGCCCTATCAATGAATTTAATCTGCAACAGTGGCTTAGTTATTATTTTTATCGGTAACTAATTAATACTTACCAAAAACAATATTTATAATTATTTATTAAGTAATTTAATTATATAAATATTTTCTATACTATCAATATATATATATATAATTTAAACGGCTTCTATAAAAGAAAATTCGGAAACAAGAAAAGAGCAACTAAAGAAGAGGCGAGTTCTGAAGTTAATCTTCAATATAATTCTCCAACCATTTTATGCCATTTCGTTTCTTGGTTTATGCAAATGCATGCTGAAGTAAATTGTACTTGTGTCTACCATTTAAACAAATAAGAGTTTAACTTCTATTTATGAAAACATTTGTTAACTTTTGTTCACTAATAAAGTTTAAAAAAAATACTACACTATAAGTTCCTCAGATTAAAAAATAACTATAGATAACCGTTCATAAAAACTAAGTTGATACTTAGAAAATAAAATATGTTACTTGCTATAATTTAAGATATAGTGTAAAAGTTCTTTTTTATATGGTGAATGTAAGTTAAATCCTTAAACAAAGGTCATATCTTATTACTTTTATTTTATTCTTAAGGAAGAACTCTTTGCATTTAGACAAAGGAGTAATTGTATTACTTTATTTTCTTACATTTTCTTCCTCTTATTTTTTTCTTTTTGGTGGTTGGGGGCTTATTAGTGGTGGTTAGAGTCAACCATCAAATGCGTACAAGGATCAAAGTCGCAATTTAGAGAATATTCACCTACCGTAAAGCCTAGAAGAGATCTTAACTTTTGTATCTTTTGTTCACGTACAAAACGGAATTTGGCATGAAATTGACTTTTAGACACTGACGGTAAGAAAAATTACACTACTAAGTCACATTAAATATAAGCAAAAAGGGCAAGTTACACGTCTGGTCAGTCAGCTAAAAATGATCACGTTCGCTAGCTAAATATATAAAAATATGTATAGTATACATATATATATATATATATACTGGCGGATGTAGAGTATACATACCGGGTTCCCGGGAACCCAGTAACTTTTGCGTAGATTCTGTATTTTTATTAAAAAATCCATCAAATATTAATAAAAATATAATTGTGAACCCAGTTATTATTGTATATTAATTTGATATTACAATAGGAACCCATAAACTTCAAATCCTGAATATATATATTACCGATTATTATTTTTGGAAGCGGTTATAATATGTAGTTTTTTCTAAAAGTAATTATCTATGATAAGTGGAAGAAAAATAAGGCTAATAACATTTTACATCAGGTTAAATTGCACTGATTGTGTCTTCAAACTCCAAAAACAAACTATAGAAAATGACTGATGATGATGACGGTGATGGTAATGAGTTGCAGGGATCACAGTACAAGGCATCCAAAGGAGAAATTTTTACAAGGCATCCAAAGGAGAGACACGGTTTGTGTTTAGCTAATCACTTTGAAAATCATTTTTATGCAATAATTGTGTTTGACCAAGCTATTCAGAAAATCAAATTACGGATAAGGACATGAATAAATTTACTTAATATTTTATATTATAAGTAAATAAATAAACTCAAAAATTTTGTTATCACATGCAATAATTAAATCTTTTCATTTTATTTAAATAAAATATGAAAATAAAATTAAAAAGTACTTAATTCTTTTAATATAAATTAAATATATTAAAAATCATTCAACTAATATAAAAGCATTCACCCCTAAAGTCACTATATATTATAAAGCTATCCTAAAAATAAGAAGAAATACTTATACATTAATTTACTAAGTAATAGGTTTAACGGTAATTTTGGTATATACTATATTTTGTTAAGAATATTTTGATAAGAAGAAAGTCAAAATGCTTCTACTTTTGGGAAAAAGCTACTACTTTTTTCTCTTCTCATTTCTACTTCTTCCCAAAGATTTTTTTTTTCTCCAAAAAAGCTTGACCAAACACCTCAAGTTAGGTAAAAAAAAAATGCTTTTGAAAAAAAAAATAAAAAAATTGGCCTCTTAAGAAGCTTGGCCACAGGCTAAAAGACCCCCACTGGAACCGAAGCAAAGTAGGAACTAGGAAAAACAAATAAAGTGAAATACATAATTTTACCAAAAAACAAAAATGGAGAAACTTGCACTTGTCAATTGTCAATTTTGTCACTTCTTAGGAGTGGCAGGCAGTTATTTTGAGCTTCCTTTGTGAGGGTATAAGTTAACAACCCTTCGTAAATAGCTACAAAAGTTGAAGGTGAATTCAAGATTTAGATTTACTGGGTCTAGAAAATATATGATCTTATTATATGCATATATTTTAAAGTTTTATTGCATATTGTTGGAGCCTAATGCAACTGATTCTAGTTTAACCAACAGAATTCACTTAAAATCTGCCTTTTTCAAACCTTCTTATGAATGAATTGGTAATTTCAGCAGAACTGTGCAGTGCAGTACCCCTCACGTTTGGCTCGTGATTTTTTGCTTGTAATAATCGGTAATGTGCTGGGGCTCGCCAATTGGTGTGTCAGATTTTTGCAAAATTTGCGACAATAATGGATGAAAATCATGTTCGGCTCCTCTACGCCCTACAGTAATTAGTTGTCTTCCTTCAAAGTTGTCTTATTGGTCCTTTCTAACC